AAAAAAAAAAAAATCTGTGCTCTGGAGTTGCTGGCTAATGTGTCATCACTTCCAGCTGATCGCAGGTGGTCAGTGCTGGGAGCGCAGACATGAGGGGGTGCTGGCAACTTAAATATATGATTTATAGGTCAGACTGGCGAGAGACAGAAGGCACAGAGGAATGCTTAGGTCAAAGAGTTTGGGGAGAAGAGGTCAAAATCTGAATGAGGTGTCTAAGGCCATGGGCAACAAGAATCTAAGGCCTAAAGCAGGGCCATCTTACATGCCTCCTTTCACGCACCCCTCCCCCACACTCAGAGTGTACAAACAGGTGGCTGAAGTACAGGGGAGAGGGTGGAGGTCCTTGTATAGGCCAAAGATTAAGGATTTCTGCTTGCACTGCCAGTCTTAGCTATCTTTTGTTGGGATAGAGAGTCTTATTTTCCTAGTGCTTACTAGTAAATGATAGTGCACTTACATTTTTATGAGTATGTTTACTCTTCAGAGACTCACAGGATGTAAGAGCTGTCAGAATTCTTAGAAATTATTCATGTTACCTTTATTTTATTTGTGAGAAAGTGGAGGCCCAGAGATTGTTAAGTATTATTGTTAGGAGTATATATTCTACAGACAATAAACTAAACTCTAACAATAAAGAAAATTTATTGGCTCTTATAACTGCAAAATAGTAGGTGACAGCTTCAGGTGTGGCTTGATCTAGCTGCTCACTTCTCAATAGTGTAAATAAGATTCTGTTTATTTTCCACTTTCTTTTCCTTAGGATTCATCCACTGCCTAGCAACTTAGTCTCTATCCTGGTGGTCGTATGTGGCTGCATTAATTCTAGGCCTTACATCATTGATAGGACGTATGGTGGGGAGAGGAATCCTCTTTTTGTAAGAAGCCCTTGTAAATGTCTTCTTAAATCTCATCACCTTGATTGGGTTTCATGTCTGCCTTTGAACTAATTTCTGTAACCAAAAAATTGGATAGATTGATTGCTGTAAGCCCATCAGGCTTAGCTCCTGGAATTTGGGGTCAGGTTATACAAGACCACATGGGTTAGAATGGAGAAAAAGTAGTTTTCCAAAGAAGTATTGGGGTTCTGATGGTGGGACAATGGAGGGATGGATACTGGGGAGGCTGACTGCAAGTGTCCAAGGGCAGTGACTTACGCAAGGTCAAGCAGCTGGGTATAATCAAGTTGGGACTGAAACCCAGCTCTCCTCACTCAGCATTTGAATAGCTATCTAATGGATGGTTATATAGTCCCATTTAAGGTAATATATGGGGGTGGGCAAAAGTAGGTTTATAGTTCATATGGAAAATAATATAATAATTAATAATCTAAGAATAAACTGTTTCATTAATCACAACTGTAAACCTACTTTTGCCCACCCTATATGTATAAGACATCAAAATGGAACAATGGATTGGCTTATGTTTTGTTTATTCTTCAGCTATGATTATAAATAAGTACAAAAACATACCTTGTGAGAGGTATTAAGTACAAATTGCCAGTTATAAAAAACAGTCACCAGGATAAAAAGTACAGCATAGAGAATATTGTCAATAATATTGTAATAGCTATGTATAGTGTCAGATGGGTATTGGACTTATTGGGGCAATCGTTTCATAAAGTATGTAAATGTCTAATTAGTATGTTGTACACTTCCAACTAATATTATATGTCAATTATAAATTAATAAAAATATATAACAATCCTTAACTCCAAAACAAAATTTTAATATCTTGAAATAACATAAAATTTCCAGGCATATTCTAGGGAGGAAAAACCCAAAACATGCCTTGCCATTTAGTCATAATGAATACAATTGTCTGAGTTACATAATTTTGCATCTCATGAAACCATGAGGGCTTTCAGGAGAAATTGAGTAATTTTAGAGATGAGAGTTATATTATTTATAAATGCCCTTTAGTTTTACTGAGGTTTTAGCAGCCAGTCTTCTGGGACATTTTTTTTGAAACTGGAATACAGTTTTTAGACAAACTGTATGAGATACCTGAGGCATAAATTTTTGTTTTTCCTATCTCTGGGGAAAATGCTTGTTAATGTCTCTTAATGAGATCCCTTTCTCTTATTTAAGAATTACAGAGGCAAAGAAGAAGAAAGGAAGGGTTCTGAGCACCTGCCAGGCAGTGTGCTAAGCACTAAAGATATGGAAAAGAAGGTTATAGTTCTCGAGAAACTACATACAAGTTTTGTGGACAGGTAGATAATTAAATAAGCAAAATACTATGGCATTAAGTGTAATAATAGAGTGCTTTGAGAACACAGAGGAAGGCAGAATGTTGGGAGCAGAGAAGAGCCAGGGAAGGCTTTCAGAAGGAGGAGAATTTCTTGAAGGATGGTTAAGTTAGCTGGGAAAAAACAGGGAAGGCTATTCTACACAAGGGGCTCATGAACACTGAGGCATAACATCTTACAGTGAGTTTCCATGAAAATCCAAATAATTCAGAGTGTAAGGTCAGGGGATGGGGAGAGAAAGTGCAGGAGAGGCAGGCTGGGTCTGGGTCATGGAGCGTGTAGTATATCTTATGGGCAAGAGGAAGTCTCTAAACAGTTTTAAGTATGGAAAGACAGGATTTGTGCCTTAGACATATTTCTGTATCAGTTAGGTTCTATGGTTTTAGGTAACTCTGGTTAACTTCCAAAAAAAAAAAGGAAGGAATACGTTGGAAAGATACATGGTTGATCAGAAAACTGAAGGAAAAGAAGCAGAACCCAAGCTCTGAAAGGAGCTGCTAGGGCAGAAATAGTAGGAATTGATCAGCAGTCTCCTTGGTCTGTAGGAATCAGGTCCAACCACCTGCAGTTTTTATGTTGTTCTGTCCAGGATTCAAATTCCAGATGAAAGATGTTGTATTGCCCCAGCTTGAGGGCACACCCAGCCTGGGCCAGGTAAAGTCAGCGTCTTGAGTGGCAGTCTCATCAAGCCTAGATCTCATGAGGGTAGATTCTGAAAGCAAAATCAGGGTGGTGCTACCATAAGAAAGAGGAATGCCAGCCACGTCACCTAAAGCAATGTATGTCCACTTCACCAGCTGGTTGGAAGCTAGATTTGAAGAGGACAAAAGATGAAGGAATTAAAAGGCAAAAGATGATGGAGGTGTGGAATATGGCTGTGTCAGAATTAGAAAAGAACTGGGACTTAAGAATATTTACAGGATAAAAATTGGTGGTTGAAACTAGAAGAAAGGGGGAAGAGTCAAGGGTGACTTCCAGGTCCTATCATTCAGTAATAGATATCACTACTGGAGAGAAGGTAGAGGAAGGAGAGGGGAGATGACAAATTGCTTAGGACACAGTGAGTTTGAGAAACATATGGCATATCAGGTGGCATTTAGAATTTGAAGCTTGTTTTCCATGGAAGGGGCCATGGAAAACAGCAATATTTAAAACTGGCTTGCCAAAGAAAATAAGGTGAAAAGACAGAAAAAAAAATGGAGAGGAGAATGAGGAATGTTCAGGGTCATAGAAAGCCACAGGATTCAAGGAGAGAGCAGATTTGAGCTCTGTTGCGGGTAGAAGCCACATTCTAGAGAATTAAAATATGTAATTGAGAGATGAGGAAGTACTGGTAAAAATGTGTAGGCCGCCCTTGTAACAATCTTGGATGAGAAGGGCTGGGAAACTGCATCGTAGCTGGAAGGGAGTTAACTCTCAATATCAAGGGAGTTATGGGTTTGGGTTTTTTTTGTTTGTTTGGTTTTTTTTTGTAATTTGATTTTTTAAAAGTCAAGATATAATTCACATACCATAAAATTCACTCTTAAAGTATTTTATTCAGTGGCTTTTAGTATTTAACAAAGTTGTTCAATGATCACTCCTAACTCCAGAATATTTTAATCACCCCCTCCCCCTACAAGAAACCTCATACTAATTAGCAGCCACTCCCCATTTTTCCATTTCCCCAGCCCTGGCAATCCCTAACTTTTTGTCCATAGACTTGCCTATTCTGGACATTTCATAATTGGCCTTAACAGACTATGTGATCTTTTGTGTCTGACTTCTTTCATTTCATTTTCAGCGTTCATCCATACTATAGCATGTAGCAGTACTTCATTTTTATTGTCCAACAATATTCCTTTGTATAGTTAAACCATAATTTGTTTATCCATTCATGAAATAACTACTATTTCATTTGTTTCCACGTTTTGGCTATTATGAATATGCTATTAACATTTGTGTACAAGTTTTGGTGTAGATATGTGTATCTAAGTCCCTTGAGTATATACTCAGGAGTGGAATTGCTGGGTCTTAGTTTGGAGAGATTTGATCTTGTTTACAAATTGATGGTACTGTGGGAACCAGTGAAGAGGGAGGGGAGGGAAATACAGAGAGGGTCGGAGGAGAAGAGGTAGGGGCTGGAGAAGGGCAACTTTCTTCATAATCACTCACTTTCTCTGTTGGAACACCCTAACGTTCTAACTTCGTTTCACAAACACTAGACTCTTTGCCCATACATCACACTTGCTGACAACGGAGCGAATTCAATGCGTGGATAAAGCACCCTTAGACCCTTTGCAGATGCGTCCATGAGGTTTCTGTTGCAGTTCATAATTTTGGGATCTCTTCTGGTTAGACCCTGGTACATTCCGGTTTTGTTTTCTCCGGTACATTCGTTCATAGGTGAAAAAGGACAATTCACCATGAAGCCTGAGTCTGATACCTGGTTCCGCAGGTCATTCCAGGCTCCCAGCCGTCCAGGATAGAGAACGATGATGGATACTAGCGGTCGGACACCAAGTACGCCTGCACTCAGCTCCTTACGTTCCCAGTCGCAGCAACCGCGCACGCGCTGCTCCTTTGCCAAAGAGTGGGCGGGGAGTAGGTAGGGAGTGTGTCTCCAGGGCCAATCGGAAGCGAGCGCCCCCGCCCTCCCGGTCGGTGGACCCAGCTTGACCCCGGCGGTGGGCGGAGGAGGCGGGGCCAGTCGCGCGGCCGCGGAGGGGGCGGGGCCCGGGGCCTGGAGGCGGAGCCTAGGGCTGTCAGTCCCGCGCTAGCCGCTGCCGCTACCGCTGCCGCCGCCGCCACGGTTCTTTACCTACTGTGGCCCGGGTGGCTGCCAGCGCTGCTGCTCGCTGCCCGCCGCCCTGGCATCCCAAGCCGCCTCCCATCGCGCTGGCCCGGCGCGCAGGTAAGGCTGACCGCGCTGCCGAGACCTCGCGTCCTCCTCGGCATCGTTCCGTCGCGCGGGCGCCCCCTCCGGGCTGTGTCAGCCCCAAGGCTCCCCTGGCCGCCCGGGGGCGGTTCCGGGGGGCGGGACAACAGTCTTCCCATCCCCCCTTCCAGGCGCCACGCCTGTCTCCGGGGTCTGGGGGCCAAGTCTCCTCATCCCCGCGTGGTTAAGGTCTAAGCTCCCCACAACCCCTCCCGCGCCGATTACACAATCACTGGGTCTGGGGGCGGGGGTCCCCTTTCGAGCCTCGGCCCCACACCTGTTCTCGCGACGCGCTCCCAGGCAGAGGGCAGAGACCTAGCGCGACAGCGGGGCCGGGAAAGTTTCACTTGTGGTCTGGGTTTGTTGACATCCAGAGATGCAGGGAGATGGAGGCTGAGCAGCGAGGATGCGCCTATGCGAGTAGCGTTCTCTTTGCCCCAGGGTGGCCCTGGTCCAGGTTTCCTTTCCAGAAGTCCTGCCGAGAGCCCTGCTCCGGGCCCGGAGTCTGCTGCAGGGCACACCGGGTCTTGCCGCGGCTCCGCTAGGGAGCCGTGGCCCCTGGATTGCTGCAATCTGGGGACGGCTCAGCCTCCCGCTCTACGCTCTTCCTCCTTTCCTAATTTAGCATTGACATTTAGACCAGGTAGGCGAATTTACTTAGCATTTCCCTGACACTTTATAGTTGTGAGGTGCTTTGCCATCCCTGATTAGTTAATTAACAAAGTGAGAAAGCAAAATAGATTCTGAAACGCACGGCTAATGCCTCTCGCAACTCTTTAAAGAACCACTGAAAGCTTTAGGCTGTTTTCGGAGAGAGATGCTTCTGGCCAAGGTGCTGCTGGGAGAGCTATTCAGCGTCTTCCCGTTGCCTGAGAAGGCTTTGGCCATGGCAAGGTCTTCTTTGCCTCTGCTTATGCTGTTTATTGAGGGTCGCCAGTCTATGGTGGGTTATTTTGGTTTTCTTCACTTGAGCAAAGGGGGAATTAAAAGTGTTTCTGGCGAAGCAGTCAAGAAAAAGACTGAGGTTCAAATAACTTTGGATAGTTGTATGCTTTACCCGGTTACCCCTCCTGTGCAGAAAATCTTGGCTCTTTCTGTTCTTTCTCCGTTGTCCCGGTAGGACTATCCAACTGGGTAGGTATTGCTGGTTCCTCATTTAGTCTTAAGACCTCTTGCTACGTGCAGTTTATAGACCTGCCTAGGGACATCCTCTAAGAGTGAGCTTAATTAGCACTTTTATCTGCCCATTAAGCAATACAGCTTGAACTCTTTTGTAATCAGGCTCTGTTGTAGTGTTGGATCTTTAATAATATCTAATTCATTTTAATAGTGTTTCTATAATAATCTTTCTATTAGTATGCCGGTTCTGCAACTCCAGTACTTTTAGTATGGAAGCAGCAATTTACTAGAAATATTATCATGGTAAAAGCAATTCTCAAACAGATTTGCAGCTCACTTCACTTAGATAATTACTACTAGTGGCTGTTAGGGATTTTTATTCTTTGGTGCAGTAGGTGTTACAATGCTTTTGATCTATGAGGTCATTATGAGGTCATTCCTCCCTGGGAGTAACAATTTCAGTCACTAAGTCACTTAAATATTTTTGGACTAATATTGTAAGAGATTTTCCCCCATATGATTTCTTTTTGGACAGGATTCAGAGCTAACAAGATTTGGTTTGGTTTGCCAGCCTAAGCTTTAAGAAGGATAAAATTAATTGTATTGGGAGTTTATAGTAGAGCTATGATGGTGATTTTATTGGCACATGGACCAGACACTGTTTTTGGTGTTTTACAGATACTAATTTTCCTAACAACCCTTTAAGGAAGGTTGTTATAATTACTCCATGTTTCAGATGATGAAACTGAGGCCCAATTGCTTGAGCCAGGGGTCCCAGTTAAGTAAATGACAGTCACACTCTAGCCCAAGTTGAGCCCAAGTCCTTAACAACTGTGCTATCCTGCCTCTGTGGATTATTCTTTCAACAGGTATTTTATTTCTACCTGCTGCCTATACAGCATTGCATTCTGCACTGTGAGGAGAAGAGCACTTTACAGTATAATAACAAACACTGGATTAGGAGCTTTTGTTCTGGTTTTAACTCTGCCACCAGCTAATCTGTGATTTTGAGCGAGATAACTGATCTCCCTACTTTCCTTTTCCTGGTTGGTGGAATAACAGCCATGGAAGCAGATTAACCAACTAGCATTTACCTCCTGGGGAGCTGGAGAGATGAGTCAGTGCATATAAGAATTAAATGTCCTCCTCCCTAAGGAACAGGATAAGATCAAGTGTCAAAGGAGCAGGGTGTGTGCACACGCAGCCTGCACATGGGTCATAGAGAAGGACTGTAAGCTATGCACCTTATACTGCCAGTGGTGACTTTGGGAGTGCAGTAGTTGAGAGATTCCATCTTACATGCATCAGTATTATTTTATTCTGTTGCTACCAGCATTGTTCCTTTTGTAATTAAAAAAAAAAAAGACAACCTCAGAAGAAGTCATCCTGTATCAGTGGGGTAACCATGTGCAGGACTACACGAGAAACATTTGTGAGGGACCGTTTCGCATCATTTTGCAGAAGGCTCGGGGTCAGATGATGGCAGGATCTGAATGGCAGTCCCAGGAGTTCCAAGAATCATGGAAAGTCAAGCTTGGAAGGAAACTTTAACGTCATTGGCTTCAGCACCCTCCTTCTTTTTTCTCCCTCCACCATCTTTCCAGTAAATAAATCCCCCATGTGTGTTGCACCTGTCCCGCTCAGCGCTCGTCCTGCTCTTGCTGGGACACCTTCTGGACCAAATGTTTGGTGTGCTTCACAGATCTGTGCACCAAAGAAGCTGGGATTGTACCTGGCAATTGGGAATGAGGAACTGCAGAGGATTCTGAACCCTTTAGGCTTGTGCTCTTCAAAAATCACCATCGATGTGAAACCTGGATTAGAAGGGAATCAGTAAACCAAGGAGACCAGTTTGGAGGCCTTGGCCAGAATCTAGGGTTCAGGTGATCCAGACTGAGACAGGTGGTGGCATGAGATTGCAGAGGAAGGAATGGGCCCAAAAGATAGACTCCCCTGCACCCCTGTCCACAAGCATTAGAGACGAGGGACAAGTCAGCATCTCCCTGAGGTGGGGGGGGGGTGTTGGGAGCACTACTCAGTGGAGCTGAGGGCCTGATGGGGTGGGAGGAGAGTCAGTTATGTGTGTATACCCCCCAGAGGTGGGAATAGACTGTGGCTAACATAAGGCCTCTGCAGGCCAGAAGACAGAATTTGTTTCTTCTCAAGAAGGGAGTGAACCATTTAAATAAAGTAGGAAACTCCCTTTGCCTAATGAAGAAATATACCAGTATTTCCCCTGGGGTGTTGCAAACTCTTACACTGGCTCCTTTAGCCTGTGTTAAGATTCTTTGTCATGCTGGAAATCCAGTGTTATTTGAAGTTGTACCAGGAGGGCATCGTGGTGATGCTTTTTCTCTGATTTTGTTGGGAAATCTTCTTTTGGGGGATTCTGTTCCACAGTGACACCTGTTACGTAAGCGCTGGAGGGCCAGCGCCCTTCATGGGGAGAGCTTGGAGAGTCATTGGAAGTCTTTCCTTCCAATGAAGATTGTGTGGCTCTGCAAAGTGGGCCGGAGCTGAAATGATTAACCCATTGACAGGAAAACAGGATCATTTGGAGGAAACAAGATTTACCCACAAAGGCAGTAAAAAAGTTGCAAGTGTTGTAAGTTCAGTTTTCTCTTGTTATTTTATATGTTTCTGGCTTAGGATGCAACATTTCTTAATATTCATATTTATAAGTTTATAAGTAGAAATACATTATCTAATAGTATATATGGAAATAAACTGTTTTCTTTTTCTTTTTTTGGCCAGGACAATATTGATCTTGATTTTCCAATACCTTGTAGGCCAGTGCTTCTGAAACTGGAGCAATTTCCCCTCCTAGGGAACATTTGGCAGTATTTGGAGACATTGTTGGTTTTTACAGCTTGGGGTGGGAAACATGCTACTGGCATCTAGTTGAGTAGAGACTAGGGATGGTTCTGAACGTCCTACAATGCACAGGACAGCTCCCACAACAAGGAACTGTTCAGCTCGAAGTTAATAGTGTTGAGGCTGAAAACTCCACTTTAGATGATAAAACAGTTTGTTTTTAGAAGCAAACTGAAGTTTAAGGGAAGAGAAAGAGTAAATAAATCTAAAGTATTTTTTGACTCCTTGGTAGTGTGAAGAGCACCCTCACTTCTGACACGCAGGAGGAAGACCCAACAGGCTGCCAAACACAGCTGCCACCCAGGAGCTATTTCAATAACTGGATTGCTCAATGCAGTAGTTTGGAACAGGAAGTAGAGGTCCTCGTAGTGGGATGAGGTTGTAGGGTAATTTGTGGAGGCAGAAGGGTTTATAGGCCAAGAAGGGAAGTTCAGTCCTGCCAGAATAGTTTTGAAAAGTTCTAGGGAATTTTTCAAAGGTGATTTTTTTGGAGACACTGAGTGTCGTGCTCAGAAGGTACAATTTCTGCTCTGGAAGTGCATGAACCTTCTAGGCTGTTGATCCGAGCACTTCCCAGAGTCTTCTGTGTCCATAGACAGAGTGGACAGTGAAGAACACTTGGTTTTACTTTCAGGTTGTATCTGTGTCTTCCCCAATTCTTCTTTAAAAGCTTTTCTATTATGGAAAAATGTAAACATATACAACGATCAAGAAGAGTTTAACAAACCTTTGTTTGCCCAATGCCCAGCTTCAATGATTGTCAACTCCTGGCTGACCTTGATCTGTACCTGCTCATCTTAGGCTCCTTCCCCTCTTTTTAAATCTAGAAATTAGCTTAAATAATTACTGATTGCCTCCCAACTAGGAGAGGCTTGGCAGTGAAGGAGATATGTGATTTTCTGGTGCTTGGGTCTCCCTGGAGGAAGACAGGTAATTGGCATGTGTGATCACAGTGGCCACAAGGGCCTGAGAAAGAAGAACAG